TTCAAATGCATTGAACAATTCCAGGACCCTCAGCCTAGTCACAGAAATGTGGAGAACAAAGCAGTTAGATTTGTTTGTTGTGCAACTGATTCAGGAGACTGTCACTGTTAGGACATGAGGGTATTTTGAAAGAAGCAAACCAGCCCATATAATTTTAGAATACAATCAAACAGGATTATTTCCATGCTTGGATTTATCTGGAAGGCCAAGCAGAAGGAAGATTAGGTGCTTGCCAGTCTATTTTACTGGCGCAGTTCATTTGTTAATCTTGAGGGCCACGCGATGTAGTTTATTCCCATGCATTTTAAATATCAAATGAAAGTAGCATTTGTATATTAATCCAAATTATTAGACTGAAGGGCAGAAGAGTTCTGAGACATGAAGGAATTACATAAGGAGACAGGCACTTAGTTTACCCCATTCAGAGCTTACGCCATCCATCCCTCAGCACAAGAACAACACCTGCTCCTGAGCCATAAAGTAAAGAAATAATAGGAAGTTTAGTATTTTTAACCACAGATAGGGCTTTGCATTGGCTATACAGGCCCCAGAAGACCCCAGAAAAGTAGTGAACTGGTCTCCTGTGGAACTGGAAGTAGCATAATTTGGTCAGCCGGCATGGGTATTTCTAGCAGTGCATTGCTTTGCATAAGGTTGCAATTTCCTTAGGCCAATCCATTAAGATTCCTGCCCTTTTTGAACTGAAAATTATCCTAATTAGTCAAGCACTTGCTCCCATGTGTTACCCAAGGTGCTCAACTGAAGTGAAAAAATTAACAGAGAGGGAGGAGCCTGCTTCAGTTCCCTTCTCCTTCAGGTGCCCTGAGAGACCAAGAAGTAGGCTAGACTGGGGGAGGGTAATGAACTTGATTTTCATGAAATCCCTAGCAAATGCTCTGGAGCAAAGCTGATGGAATCCCACGCTGGAGCAATTCAAAAGTCTTCAGAACGGGTGGAGGAGAGGCAGAGCAATGTGCTGGGTCTGGAAAAAAGGAACAGAGCAGAAGGTACCTCCTTTCAGCAGTTACCTTTTCCTCCGATTCCTTCTGGGCTGTTAAGTCCCTACACCTGAATGCACGGCTTAAAAATTTCAACCAATACATACTCCCAGTCAACTCACCATTAATTTATACTACACTAAGCCAAAGCTGCTGTGGTAAACTAAGCTCCTGCCCATTCTGTGAGTCATGTGAGCAATAACCTCAGTCACAGGACATGAGAACTTTGAGAGCTGTAAGACATTTTTCTTTAAGTCCACGATGCAATAGGATTTTAATCTTCCTTAAAGATTTTTCTGCCTTTGGACAGCTACTTGAAAGACAGCACTGCAAGGTGAACTATTCTGTTTTCCTCTCTACCTTCCACAGAATCTGGTGGATTACATTTTCTGTCTTGAAACCACAAATCTCATTGCATTCAGGTTAACATTTATTATTACTAGATCACATAGCTGGACAGACAAATGTAGTCTCACAGACTGAGAATGGGGGAGTGGGAACAGTACCTGTAGAGAAGATGCAGGTAGAGCAACAGCACATATCCCGCTTCTGATATCAAAGGCAACTGAACTACAGTATTTGGTCATGTATACTTTTGAATAGAAATATTTACTGAAAATTTACAGGAAACTCACTGAAAAGTAAGCAGAACAAAAATAGTCTGGGTACAAAAAGAATAAACTTGCCAAGGAAAGTGAATGTGTGTCCAAGGGGCACGACTCAGTCACCCTAAGGCCTGCTATGAACAGTGCTGTATAGCTCTGCCTTCCAGGTTCATCACTCAACAACAGAGAGAACGGATATTGAAAAAGTTTGGCTAACATTTAGTAGCGACAGCTGATCCTTGAATGCTGTACTGACATAATCCATAATACCTCTGGATCCTATTAGCACAATCGAAGACACCATGTGGCGACGCTGTCGCAGTGGTCAGCCCCATGAGAAGGGATTCACCCCCCTCTGGCAGGGGGATCTCAGCTTCTGTTTTTGAGCATGCTAGGAATTGATTTCAGAGCAATCAATTATCACATCTGTTTCTTCTAACACACATGCATTTCAATGTAGGTGATGTGATGGAATTACCACTCAGAGCAAAAGCATTGTTTCAGTCAAACTTGGCATCTATGGAAAGAATACCGTTAAGTAGAGATGACAAACATTTAGCATTAAATCATCTCATAAATCCTTTCCTCTTCAATTTCTATGGCTTTCCCTAACGATGTACAGTTTATGAATGTGACTGAAATAAAGGAAAAATAGCTATTGACCATCTGCAAGTTGATGTACAGAGAAGTTTTTGTTGTTCTTCAAGAAAAAAAAAAAGGCGCTTATGTGAGGCAAGAGGAGTATTCTCTCCATCACTTTGCTCTTGGGAAGGTTTCTAAAATAATTTGGAAGTACGACAGAGCTGAGCGAAAACGCACAGAAGACACTTAAGTCGAAAGAAAAAAAAGGAACAACCAATGACTTGTTTTACAGACAATCCAGTTGCTGGATCCACACAAACCCAAATACTCTGCAGTCTGCGTTGTCACTGTGACCAGGCAGGCCTAGCTGGCCCTGTTCCATGCACATGACTGAACTCAGCTAGTTACCAGGCAGTACTAGTGGGCAACACTTCCTACACTACCGAGACATGTGTTCAGATTTTTAAGTTTTCCTTTTCGTTACTCAGACTCCTAGAAACTTTGCACCAAGCTGTCTCTCAAGCACAAAGTTTTTAAGCTGCTGTTTGGATAGCATAAAAAGCACCAAAAATTAAGTCACGCACTGTTTTTTATGCAGAAATTCAGAAAGCGACAAGGTCCCAAGGTTGATTTTGCAGGTAACAGGAGAGCTAAAAAGCCATCACTTGATCTGTGCAAAGATCAGCATGGAGATATGTACAGAAATAAGTTGTCACTATATAAGTCTATGTCTGGACTAATGCTTTGAAGTAAGACTGGTTAAAATCAGCTCAACTCAAACCCAGGTAAATCATGCACAGGTGTAATCAGTATCTTAAGATTTATGACTCTTAGCACAAGATAAAACATGGGTGTTATGAACTAACAGGCAAAAAGTTACTTCCCCGAGGGCTACAACAGAAGCCACTCTGACCACATGAAAAGTTTTGAGGTTACCCAGTGTGGGAAACACACATCTCCCAAAGCTGTTGTTGCTGTCTGGCTAACAACAGAGCACAGCACGTACAATCTCTATAATATTTTCTTCTCAAATCTGCAAGCCTATCGTTGACGTGTACGAAAGCTCACGCTAAGAATTCTTTGGACTTCCGTTTTAAGCTTGCAAGGAAAGCAAAGAGTCTCCCTGTAGAGCAGACGAGCAAAGTGAATGCCAACAAACTGTAAACTGAGATTACACGGAGCCATCTGTCCAGAGACTGAGCCTGTTGAGCAGCCTCATCTCACACAGATGACGGTCTGACATGGCCCAGAGCCTACACCTAACAGGTATAAACCGCTCTCTCGATGCATTCCTACCTCACACTTTCAAAACTCCAAGCAAAACCTACGCCTCCTCCGCACCCCGGCCCGAGGCTCAGCTGGAAACACACGCATTCCCGCT